TGGCCAAATATCAAACTTGGTCAGATTATTCATCAGTATAGTATATTACCAGATTATATTATGGTGTGTGTTCAGTTGTAGTTAATCTTGTAATCAATATCATTGGTAATGTATCTCCCAAATCCCATGAGAACACTAGACTGGATTTCAATGTCAACTGGTGGATGAACTGTTGCACAATTTACTTACTTTCTAATAACATTTGCAAACATACCAATAAAATACATAAATATCTATTTCAGTTAATCAATATAAGCACTTCTATGAATATCCAAAGTACCAAACTTTTAATCGAGATCTAAAGCCAGTGGAAAATTATGTCTGTTTTAGTCCAAAGTTATCAAAACAAAAATATATATCAGGCAAAATGTTGCATCCAAATATTGGAAGAAAAATTGTACTAATAAATATCTATGCTGTATTTGACATACAGTTCACACAACAGAACAAGTGTATTTACTATTTTATCAGTTCAAATTAGGCACTAAAGATAATTATAAGTAAGTAATGAGTTTTTGTAGTGTTTTTATTCAAAATAAATTGTCACAATGCATATTCATATTAAAACAAACTTTGATAAATGAAATAATATTAAGTAACAAAGGGCAAGGTCACCACAGGTTAACTGTTAATTATGAAGATGATGCTAACACACAAGGTTGTGATGACCAAAACCCATCCTACCAAAAGACGAGGGTTAGCAATGAAAGTGGCAGCATACCATTGACGATGAAAAATCATAAGGCAAGCACACATTTCTGGATAGAAACACTGACACAAATGTGTGAGTGGGAGAAAAAAACTTAAGAGTTGGTCTCAGATTTATTTACTTGCTTAGATTGTGTATTTAGCTTTCTTCAACAATATCACATGATTGTATGAAAGTTTTTTTTTTTTTTAACTCGCTTATTTATTTCTATAACCTGCTGAGTTAACAGTCTGTTGGGGAATTGAACCCGCAACCTGTCTGATGCGGGGCTAACAAACTAACTGCTGTACTTACCTCAGGTCCCTGAACTCATTTTACACAAATAAGCTGTCCCATTGTTACCTACAAGTATTCACAGTGTTCTCTGCTGCTATTGACTTAATTAAGAATTCTAAAAATGTGTTAGGACTGTGAGTTTACATTGCATGGTTTCAATGGTATTTTTATCACATAATAATATTTTATTACCGGTACATCCGATTTCTAACAATGTACAGCAAGTGTAAAAAACACGAAATATAAAATATTTCGAACAGGTACTGAAAGAAAAACATCTCACTCTCTTCTAATAGAATTATTTTTATATAAATATTTTCAGTTTGTCTAACCATGTTATCTTTAGTTGTACTCAATGGATTAACATTTTTGTTGTATTGGTTTTTCACTTTTTTTTGAAGTTTAACACATGAAAGTCATTTTTGTATGTATTTTCTATAATTTGTACATTCACTGAAGTAATGTTTTGTACTTGGGGAGGGGGGAGGTAAAATATTTATGTTCTCATTTCTGTTTTGTGGTGGGTGTGTTTATCTTTCTCTATTTTTAATATGTCATATATGTCTTTCTTTTAATTTGTTTTTTAAAAGTATTTATAAGGTTATTTCACTCAGCATCCAAAATAATGATTTATGTTTTTGAATCTGGCTAATGTTCGTTTACTGTAAATCCAACATTTCGTAATTATCCCTAGACTGACTGTATTCAAAATTTGTACAAAGTTAAGTCATAATGTCATACATATGCACATTGATTTAGTTTTTGCTTTTTTTTTTGGAGCTCAAAAAAGGTGGTTTCGCTTTAATAGCGAAGGAACTCTTGATGGTTTAAATTCCAGCAAGTCATTATAATTTAGTTGTTCTATTGTGTAACCCTTTAGACCCCCCCCCCCCCCCATCTTCTGTATGAGATCCGGATTTGGTACATTATGATTCAAATTATCTACTGAATTGCAGTACACTTGCGTACAATTTTAGTATATGCAAATAATTTGGTTTAAACATACATAGACGAGGTAGTGCAAATGGTTTACAAAATCGTTTATTTATTTTCCACTACTGTAAAATACTTTATTTTCGCTATTTTCGCTGAAAGAATGATTCAGTGAAAATAAAATCAAGTGAATATTTTTTTCCTATATTTTTACATTTAACTCGTCAAAAATCAGTGAAAATAAAATCCATACAAAACACCCAAAAAGTCTTTTCAGCAAAAATTAATTCCGACTAAAATAAAGTATTTCACAGTACATAAAATAATTGTAGGTCTCCTACTTTAATAGAGATTCACCCAGAGTGGGCGTGCCAACAAGTCTATGTCAGCTAGATTCGAAAGCCAACTGTTTGGTCAAAACCCAAGCAGTTAGCCGATTCACTAGCGAGTTTGCAAATTGGCTGCCCCAATACTTCTGAGACTTGTAAGAACATTAATCATGATGGCTGGTGAGCAATGGATCATTATCCTATTATGCAGTAAATTTTTTCAGCCTACTTGTTATGTTCATATGTTGACCTTCCTCTTGATTCAGTTACCCTGGCTTTGCTGAGAATGAAATGTACAATGGCTTACAGCAGTTATTAGATGCGTATGATGAACAAGACCAAGAGAGACTCAACCAAGTTGCATGGTATCCTGTATTTACATATATGGACAATGATGTAAGTATACAACCAGTCATTTTGACCATTTTTGAATCCTTATTTATGAGTTTTTGCAGTTACCCTGTATACCTCTGTGTATATCACTGTGCTATGGATATCTGAAAAATGCTCTCATCATATTTTAATGAAATTTGGCACATAGATGATCTGAGACAATGCTTTTAGTACTCTCAGCACACAGCCGAACTTTCTAGGCTTTCTTTGATGGATTCTGTATTTGAATGGATGATAACATGTCATTAAATATTTATGAACAAGGGATTTTAGAATTTATAGCCATTCAGATTGCATCATTTGCATAGATATGAATATTCATGACCAGGAATCCATTTTGAATTCACAGAATAGCCAATCACATTGAATTACTGTCTTAATCTGCATATTCAAATGAATATTCATGATCGGAAATCAATTTTGAATTCACAGAATAGCCCATCACTTTGTACTTATGTATTTGTCTTTATTTGAATATGAATATTCGTCATCAGGAAGCTTATAGCCAATCAACAGATGATAAAATGTTGATATTTTGCTGTCTTTTGAATAAATTATTTTTTTGCTGTACTGTTGTATTAGGACATAAATGTATTGTGAGTTTCATTCAAAACTTTTCTAAAATATGCATTTTGTCCTAAAGTTAGGGTTATTTGCATAAGTATCGTGATTAGAACTTTGAAAACATTGTAGTCATGCATACAACTGTTGTTACTTGGTTCATTGTGCAGTTAGGCAACACCATTAGCACAAGTTACCTAAATAAGCCTCGCATAATTCATCCCCCCCTCCCCCATAACATTACAGTTTCAGTGCATTGTGGTGGGAGTTTTTTCTCTCCTGACCAATTTCTTTGGCAACCCTATTTACCTTTATGTAGTGACCCTTATATGCTACCAAGTACTTGAACAAAAAGACAGCTTTGCTAGACATACAATTGTCAGTGAATTGAATTGTCCGATGTCAGTTCCACTTCCTGAGTAGTCGTGCCAGCCTGAAGGCGTACGAAAATTATCTATAGGCATGTAACAGTGCTGTATTGAAACTCTTCAACATATCCCAAATCGAGGATACCAGGCTTTTATTAATAACATGAGTCAGATCAGTCAATGCACTGTCACATAATTATTCACATTTTAAGACCAATCGGCTCTACTTTGTGTTCAACCAGTTTACCTACTCACCTATTTATGTTATTTGCAGTGTCGTCTTATACCAGGCACTTTTTGTTGGAATCGCTCCAATTTAAATTTGATTTATTGTTTACAGCGTTTCTGGGGTAGATAAAATTTTAAGTATAACATGCCCGGGTTATAATGCATATAAATCATATGTACACCCTATTCATTATGGTTTATTGTCAGTCCATTGTGTTTTGCTGAAATTTAGGAGACGTAACTCTTTGTAGTGTTAGGATTTGTTTTTTTGAAAAGTTGGAGTGTTGAAATAGCGTTATATTATGGGCCATATACATTCCAAGTACTATTGAGGTTTAGTTCACTTCAAACCAGGTCACTTACCTCTGGGTGCAATTGTTTGCTGCACAAAAGCACTATTGGGTTCCATAGAGCTGCCTGTATGGTACCTACCTATACATTATATAGAGTCAAAGTTGTATGGTGCCTAAAATGATAAAATGAGCATATTTATAAAAATGTTGTGCAGGTCCTAATATCGCAAGTTTAAATCTTCCTGGAGATTTGAACATCTGAAGTGAAGCCTGCTGTATCCTTGGTGAGCGTGCCTTGAAGGACAAACCCTCTATAGAGGGGGACTGGGCTCAACGAGAGGGGAGCGGAGCGGAGTTGAAGCTGGGATTCTAATCACTTAGGAATGTAACTGTAGCGCGCGGGGTTGGGGGGTGTTTTTTTCTCAGTCTCTGTTTAGTTCACAGTCACTAGAGGGATTAAAATCCGAATAAATCGATCAGTACTATTTTTTATTGATTTTTTCCAAATTTTTCCATCATTATTACTATATAATAATAAAGTTATGAAACTCGGCCGCCAAAAAATCAACACTTCATTTCTTTCTTAAAAACTATTCTTTCCTTCTGTTTAGTTTATTTCCTTCAAAACCAGAATAATAATAAGTTTATTTCACCAGAAGCATGACTAATAACATAAATGAATAACAGAAAGGAAAAAAAATCAAAAAAAGATTTAATAACTGTATCAAGATGTTTTTTTTGTGAGTGCTCTGGTGCGGGACATAGAAATAGTTTTAGAAATACTAATCTAGTCCCTCACTCTTCGGATCGAAATCAAAACAATTAAATACTGACTGGGGTATGAATGACACAGTAAAACTTTACCTATTATGTGTACAAGAATACAATATACATACAACTAATCTAACAAAAACATTGAAATCTAAAGAATAGTATAAATTAAACAAAACACTAGAAAATAATAAAAAAAATAAAATAACATAAAATAAAGGTAATCAATTTGACAGAATATATGTTTTCAAGGAAAGTGAGAATAGTTTTCCAGTTAGGCATTCCAGTGAGATGATGCTGCATATTTAAGGCTATGTTTGTTTGAAAGTAATGGTTAACAGGTTTTATGGAACGGTCATTATTCACGCATACAAGATTGAAATTTTGTTAGTTTGTAGATGTCCAAAATGCTGAGTTGTTGGAAGGGAGGTGCAGTAGGAGTATTAAAATTGGAAAAGGTAATAATGGCACTTGTCATTAATGTTGGAAAGGTTAACTGTGTTGTCTTCGATGAACTGAAATAAATTTGTATCATCTGCAAAAAGCTTAATATGGTGAAATTAACGATGTCATTTATGTAGATTAAAATAAATTTTTGTGGGACCCACATTTTGTTGTTTTATAGGAAGATTGGATAATGCCAATGTTAACAGATTG